GTTGGGATCAATATCATCCAATCCTATGCTCATCGTGTCAAATCCGTCATCCCCATCGCCTTCCTCGGTGCTCTGGAAGGGCAATTCATGCGTGCTTGGTCGTAGGCCATGTAACGGAAATTGAGGCGAAACATATTGGCTTGAGAAGGCCACTGAAGAGTGTGCAACATCGTCTTTCACAACATAGTCGTTGGCTGAGCGATGTGAACCAAACGAGCCTCTAGCTCTTAGGGATTGTCGGTTGTCTGCTGACGAAGACCTACCCCCCAGGAAATCGCCCTGTTTGGATCTGGACCGAGCTCTGGATTGACTATGTGCAAGCACAACGCTTTCGTTGCTAGATTCAGCGAGAGAGAGAAACGAGGACTTATGAGTCAAACCTCGGGAATGACGTGAGGTTATCGTCGTGCGTGAAACATCGTCTTTCTCTCCCTCGAGGGACACAGCTGGATGAGGAGGGGGAGGTGCACATTGAGCCGGAGGGTCAATTACCTCTGGGACAAATTCGTCCAGATATTCCGGCAAGAGGAGAAATTCGGCTCGATGTGTGCGCTGATCCTCCCTCTGAACCAACTCCTGCTGGATTCTTCTTTCTTCACTGAATTTGAATTTGCGCCCGATGACAGCAAGGCGAACGGTCGTTCGGAAGTGGGCATCTGTTTCCACAGGATGGTGGTATCTGGATTTTTGTCTTCCCGCTGACTCTGCATTGAGACATGAGATTTGAATGTTTGGCACGACAATATCTGCACGCTTAGAGTAATGAGATCTGGCCCAGTCATTGAAGCGTACATCGATGGCATCAGTTGACACCAAGAAAGCAGCTTCATCTACATGCAACCAAACTTGAATAGACTCCACGGCAGCTCGAGCAAATGTTATATCGTAGAAGACAAGTGATGAGTATGGCACAAGGGCGTTCTCCACATCATCGAAGCAAAAGGCAAGGGATTTGCCGCCCTTTGCTACTGCAACCAGGAAGTCAGATGTACACTCTCCGGTAATTCCGCCCACATTGACATCCCAGTTGCAGACGTATGCTGGCTCGGACGGCGGCAGCCCAAAGAGCTTGTGCCCAAATAGTCGAAGGCCATCGATGAAGAGTTGGGTATTAGACGAGGACATGCCAGGGGAGTCCAGAGTGCCTTCGCTACATCCTAGCGCAAGACTGATAGGACTGACCTCGACCTCGACTTCCATGAAATAATTGGTGAAGCGCAAGTCGACAGAGACGCTAGCCAGCTCACCCTCTATGTAACGGTCAGCAGAGTAGAGGTTCGTTGGTAGCATGACCTTGAGATCCTCAATTCTGACACCTAGAACGACGTCCATGTCGTTGGACTTCTTGGGAGGAGGTTGTGTTACAGCTTCCGCGTCAGGATTCTTTTTCTTCATCTGAAGCTGATTCTGATATTCGTCTAGCGTTCGGAAGTGAACAAATTCTCCAAAGTAATTATCTTTCAAAAGTATGACGTATCGGATCAAAAACCCATACAAGTACACATAAGGTGATTGACCGCGTACATTGAGAATAAGTGTGTCCGTGTTTGCTGACGACGTCGTGGCATTGTAGTTGTAACTTCCATCTACCGCAAGGCCTTCAATATGGCCCAGTCGCTTCGAAGAAAGGAACGCAGCCTGTGTGTTCCATTGAGGAACTTGAAGCGCCATATCCAACTGATCAGCACGAACATCAAAGGGGATGGCATTCTTGCTTGGCCGAAAGGAGTCGGCCGGGACGCAAGACTCAGCAGTCAAGCAAGGGCTCGAAAGTATAAGATAAGTGTTATCTTCAATGACCGTTGCTTTGTCGATGATGTTGGCCTCGTTGACGTTGAGATAGACCTGTAATGAGTTCAACGTAAGATTGAGATGATATTTGAAGGGCACGAAAACAAGATAGTCAGCGGGCGGGCCAGCTGTCCAGTCGTCAACCAGATCTGTAAGTAGGAAGATATGGTCTCTCAGCATGAAAAGTTCCATTTTCGAGCTGGTGATGTTGAAGTGCCAGTTCCTCAGCGAATTCCAGGCTAGCGGGTTTGAAAGGTCACAGGATATCACTTGAGCACCAGATCGCCACAAGAGATCATGGTTCACGCTGCTCCATAACTCAGAACTTGGCAAGTCGACATCGAGCTTTGTGGTATAGCCTGTTGAACTAGCCAGCATATCCATGTTGAACTTGACCGACGAATTCGCGGGGAGCTTCACTTCCAACCATCCTGCAGGCCGAATTTCCGTTGCGTCTGTTTTGCTGTTCTTCTTGGCCCGGTTCCTCTGCTTTCGTTTGGTGGGAGGTTTAGCATGTCGCATGGGCGGTTCTTTACCACGCCAGCGCCAATTTTTGGACTCTTCTCTAATGGGAACTCGCAGCGTGATTGCGTCGTCCATTTCGATGTAGAGTTGAAACGTTGTAGCGATTCTCCAATCCCCTGGTTTCAGCGGTTTGGCAGGCACGGCATCTTTACATAGTGATGGAAAAAAGAAGCGCTGCAAATCTGCTCTCTGACGATCTGCCCAGGGGCCATAGTTCATTGTGCCTCCTTTAATTGAAAAGTTCATACCCCAAGCAGGGGGTTCGTCTCCATTGATGCTGAGTGGGAAGGTCTTTACGCCTCCATAGCGACTCTGATCAGGTACTTTTCCAACAGCATCCCAGAATACTGTCAATACAGCCTCAGGGCTGTCAAGAATTGTCGTCACAGCTGCGTATTCTACGGATGCCCAACGAGCTCTATCATCTCGGTCGCGGTCATCAAGATAACGGGTCAGGCCTTGCCATTGATTTGCCCCGGGAACTTGCGAAGTAGCGGTAGTCATGGCAGTCCGTGAGTCTGTTGAGAAGGATTCCACAGACCGCCGCCAGTACGGAACTAAATTCCGCAGCGAGTTAACGGCTTTTCGGCGATGGTGGCGGAAGAAAGATCGCTTAGATAATGCCTCCTGGGTCTGGGTATTGTCACGGTCTCGGGTCGCACGAGTGACTTGATCCTCCTTGAAGTCTTCGTTCTCCTTGATTTCGACAACCGGATGCTGGAATTGAACCTTGAAGGTTTGTCGATATGGATCAGGTGTAGTTGTTTCCGAAGCATCTACTTCCACATCCAACGAATCCGCTTTGGCGATAAGGATGGCTTTCGTGTTTTCATTGCCTATAACCGCAGCCGCTTTCTGGCACCGAATATGCACAGGGAACAGTCGAAGCATGAACGGAAGCTCGGGTTCATCATCCCTGGTTTGTTCATCGTCCTCGCCGCTTCCAAAGCCCGTGGTTGTGCGTCGGAACATGGTCTTAGCTCGTTCGCTGAACTCTTGCTTCGCATCCGTCCCTTTCTCATTGCCAGCCACGGAACCGCCCTCCTTCTTGTGGCCTCGTGATCGTGTAGTGGTCTCGTCCTTCTCTGATATTCCACTAGAACGAGCCTCCGGGTCGTAGGTCTGGGTAAGACCAGCAAGTATACCATCGTAGGCTGGGCTACGATTATACACAAACCACTCCAACCCAGTCAGATCCACCTGGATACGACAAGGAAGCTCCGAGTTCTTTACATCACTTGTAGGTGTAGCATCATCGGAGGAGAGTTTCGATCGTCGAGTGTCGATTATATCCGCGTCTCGAACTCGTCGTAGCCAGTATCGCCATGTTATGTAGCCATGCTGGATCATAAACGTCTCGTTCTCGCCATGGTATCGTAAGCCTGTAAAGAAGACTCGACCACCAAGAAGGGATATTTGTATAGCCTTGACATCTATGTAGACTCGATAGTGGTGCCAGGTATAAGCTCGGAGGGCGTAGGATACGATCGACGCGAAGAGTCGATTGAAGTATAGGACAAAGAAGATCGCCAGGAAACAGCACAAGGCCATAAAAATAAGGAATTTACTATTTTACGTGAGCAGTAGCTTAAATGGCTCTTCAATGACCGGGAGCATACTAGTTGAACTGGGGATTCCCTTCAGCGGCCCTGGCTACAACAATCGCATTGTTGAGGCCAGGCATAGTGATATTCATGTTGAATATACTCGAAGGAGCTCACGGGGCTCCACTAAAGGATCGGGAGGTGAATCGCATTATACTATTAGGAATTATCAATTCGTGGTTACAGAGTTAGGAGGTGTTTGCGCAAAAGTCTGTAAGTGAATCAGCCATAGTAAGTTTGGCCTGCTAGGTAATGTTGGAGTCGGTCAAGAGCTATATGGGCTGTCAGGTCACAATGGAAGAAACCAATTCGCGACGGGACAGGACCACGGTTGTCGAAGTAGTCCTCTGCCCCTGTCACTCAGCGGATGCAGGGTAGTGGAGCTACCTACTGGACATAGCTTGGCTTCAGTGGTCGAGCTGGAGATTCTAGCGTCCCGCTCCCTAAATTGTTTAGCGTCCACTTCATCCCGCAATTGCATCAGTGGATAGACAAGCTTCTTGTCAGCACCACGCCTCAATATGAGGCTGGCTGCATGTCACCACATGAAGTTGATGGCACCAACTTGGCGGGGAAATCGACTTCACGGCGGACAGTTTCCTTCGTTTTAAAGCTTTTCTACAGCTTGTCTAATATGTAACGAACTCCTCAGCCACTAGAGCAATAGACTCTTTCTGCTAATTACGAAGCTTGATCGGCTAGTCTCAATATGGATGATCTTCAATATCGGGCAGGCATGCGGGCGCATGAACGATAAGCCGCCCCCGGAGCTATCATTCCTTAGACACTGTTACGTACCACACTCAAGGCAACAAATACATCATCTGCCCCAACAACCAAGCTTCAACTGTGACTACATGGCCAAGCGACACACGACTCCCGCGAAAGCTTGAAAGCGTCGTCATCGACGCGATCCGAGTGCCCTCGACACCTTTGCACACTCCGTCTCTTGTTACGTATTGTCGGCGACATCTGTGGCTCACCGAAATACTTTGGGCAAACCGACAGTCATGTGTTAGGACATTTCAGCCATTGCCCTTTTTCACATCAAACCCGCCGAACTACAAAATTTAAGTAGAAATGGAGGAATACGTCGGGACTATGGCGGATGGCGGCACTGGCCAGAAGCTTACCTATGCCACAACTGTGGTCGCTGGCGTTGCTTCAGTGGTTGCGACAATACTCTCTGTTGTGTATGGACTCGTCGCGTGACGCATGATAATGCATATGGCTAACCACAGCTTCCAGCTCGATAATGTTACAAGCCAAAAACTACCGTAAACCCCTACTGCAAAGATACGTCGTCAGAATCCTTCTCATGGTTCCTATATACTCGATAGCATCATGGACAAGCATGGTCTCGTTGAAAGCCGCTGCGTTTCTCGATCCGGTCCGCGATATCTATGAAGCCTTCACAATATATACCTTCTTCCAGCTCCTCATCAATTACCTTGGTGGTGAGCGGTCTCTCATCATTATGACACATGGTCGCGCTCCAGTGCATCACCTCTGGCCACTCAACCATGTTCTTCCCAAGGTCGACATCTCGGATCCCCATACGTTTTTGTCCATCAAGCGCGGCATTCTTCAGTATGCCTGGCTCAAGCCTATTCTTGCGCTATCTGCTATCATCATGAAAGCGACCGGTACATATCAAGAGGGCTATATTGGTCTAAGCTCAGGATACCTTTGGAGTGGCATCGTTTACAACATCAGTGTCACCGTCAGTTTATATGCGCTTGGTCTCTTCTGGGTCTGTATGAATCAGGACTTGAAGCCATTCAGGCCTGTGCCCAAGTTCTTATGTATTAAACTCATTATCTTTGCTTCTTACTGGCAGGGCTTTTTTCTATCGATTCTGGTTTTTTTGGGTGCGATCCCTGATAATGTTGAGGGTTACACCTCCGACAACCTGGCAGCGGCTATCCAGGACGCTCTTATTTGCGTGGAAATGCCTATCTTTGCCGTGGCCCATTGGTACGCTTTCTCATGGCACGACTTTGCTGATAACAGCATTCTATCCGCTCGCATGCCCTTGCGACATGCTTTCAAAGATGCTTTCGGTGTTAGAGATCTTATTGAAGATTCGAAATTGACCTTCCGAGGAGATACGTACGGCTACAGAATCTTCGATTCTGGTGACAAGGTCATGGCTCATGAAGATTCCAAATCTCGTCTTGCGAGACTCAAAGAAGGGATGCGATACGAGCGTGGTGGAAAGGGGAAATACTGGCTTCCTAAGCCTGGTGAGGTGAATTCAACAACGCCTCTTCTTCGCGGGAATGGGGAGTCAAGCGACAACAGACCTGATCAGATTAATGAAAACATACATGGTACCTTCGAGGAACCCGAGATAGACGCTGATGAGGATCGCCTTTACGAGCAAGCACGCCAACTGGAGTATGGTGATTGGAATGTAAGCGCGATTGAACACCATGCAATTATACCGCTAATATGAGACAGTACCCAGTCATTACCGCCAGCGAACCGCTGAGAGAACGATACCGTTCTCCTGGCAGCTTTGGTACGAGGTCTTCAGCTTATGCCAGCCCATCCGTGAGGTCGCCGGCAACAGAGTATCCTCCCGCAACAAACAAAGGGAAGCAAAGGAGCAGAGGGCATGGACGTGATTCTCAGCTGGAGCCTCAACCTGAAGCTGTTGTCCCAATTAAGAAGAAAAAGAAACCAAGGAAAGTTGTCAAACATGCCGAACCAGACCCAGGCGAACTGGGCCTGAACAAGGGGCCTCCCGCTCCTGCAGAAACCGCCCAAGTTGGTGGACACGATGGACACGAGAGTCCTAAGAATGAAGAATCTAGAGCTTGGAGCGACGATCGAAATCAACCAGAGTCCCATGCAGCCTCCAATTACCAATCGGATTATGGAATAGACCAGGACGAATTCCGCAATGTTTGGGGAAGAGATGAAGGATCTAGATAAAGGGCTGCTTTTTATACCGAATACCCTCATGTCCGCTTAGGTTAAATGAAACTTGAGAGCATAGCATGGAGTTACGGCTGACGTTGCATTCATATCTGCTCTATTCATAGCATGGCATTGAATCTTTACTGGTACTTGCGAAGCATGAAACGTGGTTTGAATAACACACCTTCCTTTTGACACCTCGATCTATAGTTCTGCGCAACCTTTACACCTCGCACCGTTTTCAATGGTTAGCCATAACTCAAGCCCACGTCAAACTGAATACCTCAGCTCCATGTCTCGAGATACCAACTTCGGTCTTGCCGTCCGCACTCTTGATGCTAGTGGGGATCTTGTCACCCTTGCGCTCTAGGATAATCTTCTTGCCAGAGGTATCGGGCAGCTTATAAAAGCGACGTCCGTTACGGCTGAAGAAGTTCTCGAGTATTTCTTGTGTCACATCAGCTTCGGAGATGACTCCACGTTCGATAGCCTCCTCGAGACCAAGGAGGACAAGTTGCACGACGTAGGGCTGAGTGAAAACGCCTGCAGGCGCCTTCCCCTGCTCAGCAGAGGTCTTGGATTGCAGGGGGTGGGGGGCACTGTCGCTACCGCTACCAGAGAATTAGTACCAGAACAAGAACCCGACTTCAACTTGAACTCGAATCTTACAAAAAGAACCTGGGGTTGCCACTGACAACAGCCTTGACCAGGGCATCTCTGTCGGTTGGTTTCTTAGGAATGGGCTTGCAGAAGGCGAAAGGGTCGCAACAGGCCTCGTGAGAAGTGAGGTAGAGGTGGTGAGCGGTGATGGTAGCTGTGAAACTAGTCAGGATTGAGCATCACCAGCGTCGGTTACTTGACATCATACCGCCAACAGTTGGGCCACAGGCCTTGACAGCCTCCACAGCAGCGGAGGTAGTGCAGTGCTCAAGCTTAAACTAGTGTCAACAATCACGGGACCTGATCGTGAGGAGGGCATACATACCACGATGCGCAGTTGGGGAAATCGGTCATGGAGCTGCTTCAGGGTTGGGAGGAAAGCCTCCTCAAGGGTTGTGTCGGCCAGCGCAAGAGACTCGAGGACTTCTCCGTGAATGTTCAGGACTAGCATAGAAAAATAGTCAGTTTAGTCCGGAATAGAAGTTTTCTAGGATTCTAACCAATTCCATGCTTTTCCATTGCCGCAAAGGTATCATAGAAGGCTGTGATATCTGAAACACCACTCTCAGAGTTGGTGGTTACACCTACACAATGTAAGTGGTTACGATCATAGAGTTGGACAAGATTACGCACCCTGAGGGTACAACTTGACACCGGTTACACCAGCCTCGGCAGCTTTAGCTATCACTTCAGGAGTGACTGAAGGGTGAAGCTCATACGAGTTAGAGATTGGTAGTATAGGGTGGGTTGAGACTTACATAGAGTGACATGAGGAAGTTGACATCTTGGGTGATAGCAGTGAGCTTGGCCTTGTATTCGAGAACCTACAGTTATAACGGTCAGGCTTGATCTTGCAGAAGTCTACTAAGGCCATTTCTTGAACACGTACCTGCTCAACAGCAGTAAGAGGAGGCAACTATACGTGACATGGGTCAGCTTTCATGTATATGAACCATTGGACAATTATGAGTTTTGAACAAGATCACTACAAAACATGACATACAAGATTAGGCATACTATTATATTATATTAGCAATTAATATTCAATTTGTTATAGTACAGAGTCCATACACAAATACCGTATCGACTCCACCCTGGCGAACCGTTGGAACAACCAAGTCCATCATTTCGCCCTGACGTAAATGGACATGCATGTCAGCCGCAGCCGGAAGTTCGAGACGCTGAATGTTCTTCATTTTGAGAGTAGTATCAGGCGTGACTGTATCTTCTTAGTGGCAATTGGAAACCTTGTATATCCTCAGACAAGTATTAGATGATAGCTGAAGCGCGGGGTTCAACTTTTTTTCGATGCCCCGCGGTCTCGGAGAATGACTAAGAATGCTAGGTTTCGGAGACTTTCTGCCAATAAGACAAGCTCCGCACTTCACCGGATAAAACACAAATCCGCTTCTACAGGCGGTGTGAGAAATTTGTCGGTCTGTCAAGGCAGAATCGCAGCCACGGCACAATTCTATCATCAAATCCCTGCCCTACGTTATCAATCCTGCAGCCATTCTGAAGTCTCTTGGACTTACGGCACTGGCCTCTGGTGGAAACGGCGTATCAGACGCCTTGACGGTTCAGGTTGCGGGCGACGCGCTTGCAACGACTCCCCAGAGCGCGCAATGGGCCGCAAGCCCAATCCCCTCATTCTCGAGTACTTCGTCCGTGGACCCAAGCTCAACGACAACAGTAACCGATACCCGCATACGTGCAAGCAATGCGGTGAGAACTTTCCAAAGGGAAGGATTGATAGCTTGACAACACATATCACCAAGAAATGTCCCGCCATCTCCGAGTCGGATCGTATGCGAGCATGCCTTGAACTTCATGGTATCACGAATGCCCGAGCACCTGTCGATCGACCGCCTCCTGAAGTGCAGCCGAACGAACCGCCAGTCGATGTCCCAAATCTCCCACAAGGGTGGAGCGCCCTCGAGACACTCGCCGAAGCCTCACGACAGGTTGATTTAAATGAGAACAACCGTGCTCAGAGCGTACAGGCAGGCGTGGTTGACCCCGCTGACCCCGCCAACGCCCAGCATGTTCCAGATCGCTTTGAGCTTCACGAGCAATTTACTCTAGATAACCCTCCTGTGAGCTATGAGAACCGGTCGCAGCAGGGCAACAGAGGTAATGGCCCCTTAGAGATTGACTTGCAGGGCGTGCTTCTTACAACAAATGTGCTAGGTGTAATCCAGCAACCACTCCCAGGAACCGAGCTATCACCCGAGGAACGACTTCAAGCATTACTTCCCAACAGCGTTGCTTCACCAGACGTCTCGAACATATCGGTCGCCGTTGCTGCTACAGCCAGGTTAAACCCGTCGCTTCTTGACCCCCAGCTCGTTCACGAGACTGGTACCTCGACTACACCGCCGTCTATGGACATTTCGACCCCGATAGAAGCCTCGCCTAGTGCCGTAACAGCTCCTGACAGTGGGATCTCGCAACCATGGGGTGAAATGACATACCTGGCCACTGCCTCGCCTGTTCCTTTACTGCATGAACATCCGCCGACACCCATCCAAATGAGCAGGGGTGGTGTTCGAATGGACACAAGCGATGGGCAACTTAATGGGAGACCTCGCCACGCTCGATCCCGCTTTACCGCTGCGCGGCGTAAGGAGGTGCAAGAAGTACGGAAAATAGGTGCATGCATTAGGTGCAGGATCCTTCGAAAAAATTGCGGCAAAGGAACACCATGCGACACTTGCAGGAAGGTATTAGCACCGAGGGTGTGGAGGACTGGTTGTGTGCGAACGAGGCTCCAGGAGCAGCTTGATTTGTACTCAGCGGGTGTCCAAGTTGTCCTGTCCCAAAACCGCATCAACCTTCTGAAGAACCAGCTGAATATGACCCATGATGGTACCATGATAGAGGTTTCGCACTTTCCTGAAACGGGAAAAGCCATAATCCTCGAGGCTTTGGTCGCACTGCTAGAGCCAAGTGAGTCGCTAGCAGAATCCAGAGGCAGCAAGGATTCATTCTTCCAGGTCATTATGATCGATCAGGACAAGGAAGATGTTCCAGGCAAGGTTGAGGCCTACATGCGCGATGTCTTTCAACTTTTTATCGATCGTGAGCCCTCCAAGTTCATGCGTGTCACTCTGAGTCTTGCTCTTCAGCAATTGCAAGAGTCAGAGGATGATCTACTTCGAAAGTCTTTAGAGCTATGGGGTTTGGTGGAGAGCATCGATCGCGAGAGGCAGTGGAACGTTATCGAAAGACCAGCCAATAAAAGCGAAGAGCCCAGGCGCATTCAGGAAGCCAAAAGCGAGAACGATGCTGACATCTATACGACCCTTTGCATGCAGCTGAACGCGGCAGCTGAGAGAAAGGCCAACAATACTTCAAAGGCACTACTCAGCGGCATGCACCGCGTGCTTCAGGACAGCAAGGTCAAGGTGAACTTCAAGATGTACCTAACGGCTGTCATTTTCCTTAACTGTCTTGAGAAATCGACTTGGGCTTTCAAGGCTTGGGAGCAAGATCATCTTCGCCCTGGGTGGCCCCTAGAGCGAGACCCGGGTGTCTTCACACAGCAGGGTGGTAATCTAGCAGGGTTGTTGAAGATGCTATTGGCAATCCGCAAAGCATTGCCACAAACACTTCGCAGTGAGACAGGCAAGCTGATCACCTCGGAACAAGACCCTGTTATAGGGACTTACTTCCAAAGCATCGATCTGGACTGTGAGTACCCTCTGTTCTAATCCGTTTGTAATATTTGACTAATCACTGTCATAGACGATACAATCCTTGCCCGCCAAGAGGGCTCTCCCTTTTCTCCAGCAGACTCTCGATCCCTCGAGATGATGTTGTGCTCTCACCTTCTTATCACAAACTCTCCTTGAACGATTCTTCACAGGCCGATGCTTATGACACTTGCAAACGCTACGAACGGAGTATACTGACATAAATCATGCACAGAGGGGAGATGTATTTGAGTTGAACCGTTTAATGGCTAATGACTGGACGGAAAAGAAAATGAATTTTGATACCACACGATATATACTATATATATATGTATGACTAGACACGGTGCGTTTGGGCCAACGTGTTATGAGGGGAGGACAAAGGTCGACGAAAACAGAATAGAAATCAGGGGTTGTGATTCATTATGGCGTTTATGGCATAGATAAAAAAAAAAAGAAACAATATACCTCGGGATTTCTTAACGATGAAGATTTCAGCGATTGAATGGACTTACAGAAGTGAAGAAAGTTGATCATGATTCACTTCGCTTCGTGCTCTCTCCTACTACATATCCTTAGGTACACAGACCGTCCCACCGAGCATGCTCTAACCTGTAGAGTCCATTCCCATTGTGTAACTATCATCCTCCCTCTCTTGGTTGTTTGAAGTGCTGGAAATATGCGGATCCAGAGCCTTCTAGGCTGACATACCGGATAGACCGCTATTATTCCTACTAGGGCCGTGGCCAGGCCTTTTTGGTTTCTTGAAGCAAGCAAATTCGTTTTTGCTCGCTTCTCTAAGACGTTTGAGAACGTTGCGCATTTCGGATAATTCGCCTTGGAGACGTGCGCGGGCCTCGTTGTCCGTACGCGCATCGAGTTCTTGATAGATTTGGCTCTGAAGCTCTGAAGCACGCTCCGAGGTGTAGTGGCTGAGGGTCTGGGCGACGAATTCTACGTCGAGGGTTGCCTGCATGAGAGCCTCTAGAGTATAGCGCGGGCGACGTCTGAAGGCTTCAAGAAGCTGGATGGACGTCTGTTCGAGGAGGAAGGACAAGACTTCGACGGTAAGAGCCGGCGCAGTAGTAGAAACCTGAGAATGGACAAGTACGAGGGTAAGAAGCGCCTCGTATACATATGGTTTAGCTGCCTGGGTACGTTGCCCTTGACCAGGAGCCCAGTCAGGGGCTGAGATGCCTGATTGAATGACATCGCGAAGCCTCTCGATTGACTGTCTTGTGTAGGACTGGAAAAGTCGTTCGTGAATTTGTCCAAGAACTTCGCGAATCTTCTTGGACTCGTCAGTCAACTTAACAGAGAAGGCATTCTCGAACTGCAAGTTAAGACTTGGCACTACTTGCGACCGCAATGATGAAAGGTTGCTAAGGGTCATAAGCATGCGAATGTTCTAAATGAAATTGTCAGTACGGTAAAATCGTTCGGAGTGGGTGGAAGTAAGCCTACCCTGTCCCCTGAGTCCAATGCCCCTTTGCCCGCCATGCTCGGTGCCGCAGCCGATGCAAGCGATCTCTCACTGTCGATTGACCAGTCGTCCTCGGTTTTCTTCAAAGATCGCTCGGCATTTTCTACCATACCACTTAATGCCTTGTACAAGGTAGTGACGTATTGGCTGCGGACCATCTGAAGAAGTTTGGTCGGAGGTGGCAAGACAATATCTCCCGAGCCTGACCTAGACATGGCATCAGGGATATAGAGAATTTTCTGCATACCCGATAGGACTGCCCCTTCGAAGGCAGCGAAGCTGGCTGGCATTCGTGTCACGTCCCCCATCTCAACCGAGCGCTGCCAATCCTCAACATACTTAATATTCTCAGCATCTCTGTTCCAGGCTGCGCATAAAGCTGTCACGCATCGCTCTCGGGAACCTCCAACAAGACTCCTAAGGCGATCGATCACCTGGCCTTCTCCGGATTCAATTGGCTCAATGCACGCTAAATCTCCAGCTCCAGCGCCAACCAAAGTCAGCATCTTGGACAGATAGTGGACGCCGCTGATGGAATTAGACCACGGAGGCCAGAATGCCAGCTTTTCCCAGACTTCGCCCCTCTTGGGCGATGGAGGAGGCATATTGTTTGGATCAAAATTGAAGCGAGGATCTCTGGGGGACGACAATGCGGCGGATCCGGGCGTCGTCGGGGCTGGCGTATTGGGGATTGGTGAGAAAAGTAGGGATACATCTTCGGGAGGCATATCCACGAAGAAGGAATAAGCGTGTTCTCGGAGCAAGTCCACCAGTTCCACAGCTCCTTTTCGTAACTCTCCAACACTCTGCGGTGATAGTTCATGGTGATGCCGAGACTCGCCGCGATATCCAACAGGGAGGGCAGCTTGAGCAGATCCATTGATGAATCCTTGCACTGTCTGCCAGAATTCTATCACCTCACCCAGAATACCTTCACTTGACAGGAGACTGTTGAGGAACGACAACATCTTCTCCCAGAGCTCGATTACTTCAGGTGAGTCGAATGTCAAAGGCTTGTCCTCAATTACCGGCCGTCCTAGGGATCGAAGATGCGCAGCGATGATATTGGGGTTCGGCTTATCGTTACTGGCCAGCCGGCGACGAAGCACCTCGATCTCAACTTTTGAGCGGTCTGCTGTCGATTGGATTTTGCCCTTCAAATGGTCGTATCGACTCAAAAGCCATACCCAGATGGGATTGTCGTCGGTGCCAAGCTCAAGAAGCAATCCGATGAATTCCATGTGTTGATCTTGGATACGACCAGTCGTGCCGTCTGTCCTGGATGCGGTGTGAAGAGTAACCAGCCTCTTCCAGATATCGCGTTTGAAGGCGCGTATCTGCTGGTCAACATCATACCACATGCGTCCCGCTATTAACAACTGGTAAAGCTGGGGTTCTGTTGGAGTCTCGTCCCCTATTTCCTCTGTCAATCGTCGAGCTTCGTCAGCAATTTTTCTTGCCCTGCTAAACTCGTCGACTAATGATTCATAGTCCTTGCGTTTGATGCTGTCTGCTATCGAGGTGCTCAGCTCAACGTAATCCTTGAATCTGGTCAGATGATTTGAAACGGTTTTGAGGTTTTCCTCCTTCTCTCTTCCTCCCAAAGCAGGTCCCCATACGTCCTCAGCCTTTGCCGAAACTTCCAGGAGAGGGCCCTTTATTCCCAGTACACCGTACTCGCTCTCTTTAGTCAACGCATTCTTTTTACGCGTATCAATGCTGGGGGATGTCAGGGAATTATTGATTCCTAACCCAGCACCACTCGCAACACTATTGCGATAGCTGCGACGCTGAGCTGCATTAGAGTGCGCAGTATTGGCGTCAGGTGGTTCCGTTCCGCGGTATTTCATCTCCTTATAGACATTATCTATTGTTGCTTTTGCTTTGACGAATCTTTCGAAGTTAGTCTCAACGAGGACCTTAAGAGATGCGGATTTTTGATCGATGGATTGAGATAGGACATCAAGACCAGTAAGGAGACTCCGAGTGTCGGCAGTAGCATGCATCTGGGAGAGGAAGAGAGCTGGTGAAAATGTTGTTGAGGAGAGTAGGAATCGGTTGCCTGATGTAGTCACACACCGTCAATCTATTATATCCGTGAAGCGTACAGTCATGGCACGGGAGCATACGTAGTCGGTGGTCATCTTGGAGGGGCAAACCAAGATGCTTCAGCGTTCTGACGACGCTATCCGTAGTCCCTAGCGGATCCGGCTCGTCTTTTTGAACAATATTTCCAACGCCTCCTTGGTCGTCTTCTCTGGGAATGTTACTCCTTCGTTGGCTCACAGCTCTCTCAAGCGCCTGATAACGCGACTGTCTTCGTTTTATAGCAGCATTTTTCTCGTCCTCCTCATCATCGTCCAGGTCTTCCAGGTCCTTTTCGGCTGGCCATTCAGTGGGATAAAGAGTAGGGATCTGGTAGAAATCGAGGATTGTACGCTCGGTATCGGCCATGGTGATTCTGATGATGGTCTTGAGTTAGAACACTTAGGGGTGACGTCGCATGCTCGATAGGGTCGGACTGTGTTGCGCCAAGTCGGCGCAGTTATCTTTGCGAAATATTCTCTAGTCTGGAGAGTAAATCTAATACCGAATGTCACACGCGCAAGGTTGCACGAGTCTATTGTATCACAGGTCTTGCTGTGAATAGGTGCTTGGAGATAGTGTTATGATGAGCTATCCTGGGTAGGAATACTAGGTACCTAGGTAGCTTATGTGGCTGGGCAATTCCTACATCGGACTGTGGGGTTTAAGTGTGGCAGTCTAGCTGTGGCGTCACTTATTGCTGTGACGTGCATTTCTGTGGTTTCTTCGTGAAACGTTAAGTGAACTACGGGTGCCCACCGGCCCCTCGTTGCTCGGAGGAGGCTTCTGAAATGTGAACGATCCCGTGGAAGGACGGGAAGAAAAAAAATATGTCAAGCAATGGAGCGGAAGTCCGCGCGGGATACGAGGCTGCAGCCGAAAGGAAACCTTGAAACCACTGTAAAAGGCGCGAAAAAGTGGAGGGTAGTGGATCTGGGCGCCGCAAATGCCTTGGCCTGCTGTTGTTTTCAGTGGCTAGTGGCCCTGTTCAGACTGCCAACCTGTGGCTAAACTACCATGAAAACAGCATTGGCCATTGATTTGGTCGGTTTGGGGTGTTTGTGGTTGGGTTGGGCAGGTTGTTTTCTTCCATTGACCTGAGTTATTCTTTCCTCTTTTCTATTTCTTGATCTTCTTGTCACGCTCTTCCCGTTATACCCTCTCCTCTCTTCCAATCCTCGCCTCATATTGTCTCTTCTTTCTCAAGCTGTATCCAGCTAGTCTCTCTGCTCGCTCCTCTTCAAAATGCTGGCCATTCGAGCTCTCCGAACTCCCGCCTCCAGGCAAGCCCTGCGCGCTGCTACTCCCCGCGCCGCCGTCTTCTACGTATGAGATCACCACCAAAACTTCCCCAAATTTATTCAAACATGCAATTTGGGCACAACATGGACATTTACTTACATTCTCCCTACAGAACCGATGCTACTCGACCTCTGGCGAACGAGTTGCCAAGTACAACGGTACCAAGGATGCCAATGTACGTTTTGCGCTCCCTCATAAAACACCTTTTGGATGATCCTAGCGCTCGGCTGGGCCGAGCAAGGTGCCGAGATAAAATAACTCAGTCTCACTCGACACAATGCTTGGCTTCAGTCAATTGAAGAGATACTTTGCTAACTTCTCGCGCAGGGCAACTTCCTGGTTAGCTTGATCGAGGGTGACGGTATTGGCCCCGAGATCTCTCAGTCCGTCAAGGACATCTTCGCCGCCGCCAAGGTTCGTCATGACAACTCGCCCATCCGTATAAGTCGCACGAAAAAAACAATTATGCTAACACAACATCTTCAAGACCCCCATTGCTTGGGAGCCTGTCGACGTCACCCCCATCATCAAGGACGGCAAGACTGCTATCCCTGATGCTGCCATTGAGAACATTCAGAAGAACAAGATCGCCCTCAAGGGTCCCCTCGCTGTACGTCACCATGAACGCAGACTCGTCACACTCTACGTCTCTCTCATGGCCCAATGGCTAACATCTCTCTCAAGACCCCCGTTGGCAAGGGACATGTCTCTCTAAACCTCACTCTCCGACGAACATTCAACCTCTTCGCTAATTTGCGACCTTGCCGATCCGTCGCTGGTTACGAGACTCCTTACGACAACGTCGACACCGTCCTGATCCGAGAGAACACCGAGGGTGAATACTCCGGTATTGAGCATGTTGTCGTCGATGGTGTCGTTCAGAGCATCAAGCTTATCACCCGTGAGGCCTCCGAGCGTGTCCTGCGATTCGCCTTCCAGCACGCTGAGTCCATTGGCCGCAAGAAGGTCCGCGTCGTTCACAAGGCTACCATCATGAAGCTCTCAGATGGTCTCTTCCTTAAGGTTGCCCAGGAGGTTGCCAAGGACTTCCCCGGCATTGAGTTCGATGCTGAGCTCCTCGACAACAGCTGCCTCAAGATGGTTACTGACCCCACTCCTTACAACGACAAGGTCCTTGTCATGCCCAACCTCTACGGTGACATCCTCTCCGATATGTGCGCAGGTCTCATCGGTGGCCTTGGTCTTACCCCCTCCGGAAACATCGGTGATGAGTGCTCCATCTTCGAGGCCGTCCACGGTTCCGCTCCTGATATTGCTGGCAAGAACCTTGCCAACCCTACTGCCCTCCTCCTCAGTTCCATCATGATGCTGCGACACATGGGTCTCACCGAGCACGCTTCTCGCATTGAGACCGCTATCTTCGATACTCTTGCCGAAGGCAAGGCCCTCACTGGTGATCTTGGCGGCAAGGCCAAGACCAACGAGTACGCCGCCGCCATTATCTCCAGGCTGTAAATATACACCCTTTAGTTTAGATACCTGTCTCCTCACCCGAGGGTTTATACGCGATTTTCTTTTTTTTTTTTCCAGGGTAGTGTACTTGCTAAGTGTACCAAACCTAGAATCAGGCACGGCGAAATGATTAAGTTACGGAGTTGCTCTTGATGATGAGGACCTTAAAAATGTGTGGATGAGATGAGAAACAGTGAAAGATAATGCCTAAGCTACCTTATGCGATATAGTATTGGTAAACAATATAGTCAAGATTCAAAATTTGTCACTCTCGTATCGCTCTCAAAACAATGCTTCTAATTTGAGGTAAAACTCCTTCCATATCCCGCCGCGATTTTGCATGATACTCAAGTCATTATGAGTTTTATAGACCTTACTGAGTGGGGACCATATTTTTGTGCCAGGTGGTGGGTGTTGGCTACCCTACAGCTTACAGAACAATTCAGAGGTTCATTAGAGATTTCATACTGAGTTATGCCCTTGCGGATTGGTGAGGAGATGTGTTATCTTAGAACGTCATAACGTGTGAAATATGAGTATCTACGGTTATCAAGATTTATACACAACAGCAGCAAACAACATTCATTCAGCCAGATCAAGGTAACGATTATGACTTGACTGAACGTGCCAAATCATACCATAACCCATCTCATTACGTTCCTAGTTCAATGCTGCCCCAGTCACCATTAATAAGTTGTAGATGCCTGATGCAAAGTGCATTCATAAAGCGACGCTCCGTAAGTTACATGCAGGTCCAGATTCACCAATTCCCTTGTGCATCGTCTTTGTCCCAGCCTTTCTACCCTAACCCACAAACCCAAAGCATTGCCGTTGAGCCGTTTGCGCCGTCTTGCCATCGTACCTTGGGTAGCATTTGGCACCAAAAGCAATCCCATATTTGGAAGCTGCCTCTAGACCTCATAGTCGACCAGATCGAATTTCCTTATCAAAAATTTTGACGCCCCAAACCTCATAAAACTGCAGGACTCCAACAGTCTTGAGTCGAAGCCTCTTTCCACAATTCGAGGCATCATCATCGTCCTCCTCACTTTCGCTATCTGAACCCCAGGATGGTAGCACAGGCAGACTGCTGCTATTGTGATGTGGATGAACGGAAGCCTTTTCCTTACCCTTGCCTCTTCTCTTCGCCCCTTCCTCAAGTGCGTCTGTAGGACGAATGACCCTGTCGAGCCGATCATCTTCCATAGCGATCCACTCCAGCTTCAGCTCGGGATGGTGAGAGAGATTATCCACGATGAAATTCAGAATCTCGCGCATGACCCATATACATGTGTCATTGTTCCTGAAGCGAAGAATGTTTATAGCACGAAGGTTGACTAGTCCAGCAAAATACTGCATGAAGGCGTGCTAATATTGGTGTTAGCGACTGATCGGATTTCTGATAATGCTGACTTACCACTGCGTGGATGTTCATACTGAGAGCCAGCTCCTCGAGCTGCACACCACGGTTGCAAATAAGTATCATTGCCTTCTGATTCGCATCCCAGCTGCTGCTGTTTGATTCGTCCTTGATCATGAGTCTCTTGAGTGTGTGCATGTGCTTCTTGAGGACGAGCCGACGGATCTGGTCGATCGTGACGGTAGTTCGTGGAGCGAAACTCTCAGGCTTATGTTTAGCGCTTCGCTCCAACAAGAACAAGTCGTGCAATTCTTCAAGCTGGGACATGCAATTGAGGAATGCGGTCGAAACATTGTCGGTAAAGACACTCCGCAAAGCCAATGGCGAGACCTTGTTCTCTTTGGAGAGCAACGTCCAGATTGGGCCTTGATTACCAACATTTAGCAGGGTCAGGTTTTTAATGCACTTCAGGTCAATAGCCCTCGACAGAACGGATGCCTTGACAGGGATGAGATGAATGCTCAGTGTTTCTAGTGCAATACCACGAGTGTCTCGTAGGTATTCGTCGATCGAGCGTCGTGATTTTTCGCCGTCATTGTTTTGAGATTTTCCGAAGACTTGATCCTCGATATGTTTGATCTCGAGATGAGTCGTTTTGATCGCGCCTCTGATATGTTCAGCTTCCTGACTTAGTTCTCTTAGTTGTGTCACTGAGTCCTTGAACTGTTCCAACTCAGTAACAGTACCCTGCACACGAATCGCCGTGATTTTCTGGATGAAAGCATCGTTTTCGTCCTGCAACTGCTGCAGATTTGACAGTAGGGACTCATAATTCACCCGCTGCGCATCCAAATTTGTGTGGACCTTGTTCAGCCCTGGGGTCGCGGATGGGTTCGAGTTAGTATCCGGTGTCTTCGAGGGCAAGCCAGAGGAGTCAGCAACTGCCTCTGGTGTTTCTGATGCTTTAACCCCAACTTCCTTCTCCCCAATTTCCTTGGTTTGTTGTTCGTCCGAATCCACTTCCAATTCATCTATCATATCCAGATGTTCAATTTCGATATCGTCTGGCGATGCATCGTTGTTTGAGTCGTTATTCTTAGACAGTAAAGTCAATCTTGATTCCGTTGTCGTCGGCTTCGATGCGCCACTCTCATCACTCTGTTGCTCCTCATCATCCTTAGGTGTCGCTGAAGTGCTGCCGGACGGTTCATTGCTTGACTGAGAAGGGAGCTCACATGAATCCACATATTTTCTTGCTGCCTTTTCAATCACGTCCAAAATATCCTGCTGGGCTGTCGAGAAATCGCGAGTGCCATTTATATGTGACATCAACCTCGTTGAAACACTGCGGATAGATGACACAAATTCTTCACGAGGATCTTCTGAATTGTCGTTGGTATCGGCTTCTTGATCATCCTCTTGGCTGGTCGCTGCCTCGCGAGGACTCTGGATAAGCGCAGGCTTCTTGATAATAAAAGGTTCGACATCAAATATCCTTCCCAGGATGCCCTCTTGGAGTTTACGCTCTTCCTGGGAGCGAAACGTCTTCGCAGGGCCGCTCGCGTCGAAGCTGGTGCTCTGGGAAACGGGAACCACCTGAAACTCATCGTCGACATCAGAATCGTCCGGATCCGAGTCAGGTGGCGGTCGTCTAGCTTGTAGCCCCAAGGTATCAGACAGAGAAAGCTGCAGTTCGGTAAGTGTGGCGGAAGAATTTCGAACGCAAGTCTTGAGCTCCGTAACCAATTCGAGATTGTCGATATCGAGAACGGAAAGACTTTTCAGTTTTTTGAAACCCGAGAGCGTTGGGGGCTCCTGTGTTGCAGAGTCACGCTTGCTTGCCTTTGATTTGGAGGACTGCTTAGACGTTGGCAACAGGGGAGGAGGTGAATTGATGACTGGCAGAGATGTCATGGCACCAGCCAGTGGGGCTGAAAACACTCCTGGGGGAGGCCCAGGCGGAGGAGGCGGAATATCTGGCCAGTGAGTTGAGGCCGGAGGGAGAGCGTCAATGCTGAGAGGAAGAGGAGGGGGTGTAATGTAGTATGTATCCCCGGCTTGGAGGCGAATGTGGAATTTTGTTAATGTTTTGATCTTATGAAGCTCACGATAGACCGGCCTGCTCAACTCAACGCGAATGTTCCACCTAGCCAGAAAATTAGTGATAAAGAACTTTCCAAGAAACCAGATGCAGCCTGCTGTGGAACACACCTAAAAGTTTCGAGTGACTTGGCTTTCTTCAGAGTCAGATAGAGCAAAGTGTTAAGGAACTTGCCACAACTGGCGCTGTACAGATACGGCTTGTAGGCATGTTCGGCTTTCACGCCAGTGCTCACTGTATCCATAGACAGTTCCCTTAGATGCTTCGCGTAGTTGTAGTCGCTCGTAGTGAAGGTGTCGAGACCACCCGCAAGGCCATCAATTGGGGATTCGAATCTCACATCATCGTCATCGGGAAAGAGGATGTTGAAGCTACGATAGAGCTGCGCGGATGCTAACTCATGAAAGTGCCGAGATACAAGAGCGCAACATATCAGCTCAGACTGGGAGCACTATGGGGGTGTCAGCAATGTCGCACGAGGCACAGGATTGTGAGTCTAGGCACGAACATGCGACAAGATGTCCTGCTGGGTCTCTGCTGGGAGATCGAGAAAGGTGAGTCTGCGCTTGGGCGGGGTGGCAGCCTCGTTGCCGGTGGCCTCCGCAGCCATGATGATTGAGCGGGGGCAGCGTGGCAACTAGGCTGACTTCAATGCGAGGTGAGAACAATGAAGCAGATAGATAGATCGAAGAGTAGAAGGAGTAGCTTCTCAGTGGAACGACTTCAGTCTCAACAGGCGATGCGACGGATGGATGGATATTTCGCGATGCGACTGGGGTAATGCGATGCGATGCGCTGGGCATGCAGATGCGCCGATGTAGGATGTGCTCGAATGGATAGCGTCGATCAGCAGGAGCTAAAGAGGAGGCTATAAACTGGGGCCTAAGAGATGAGAGAGATGCCGAAGCGACGATTGGGATGGGGAGACGTGTATGAAGATAGAATCGTTCGGTTGAGTAAAAGGAATGAAACAAGAAAACCGAAACAAGGATGGAGGAGAAGCAAATCCAAGCAAGTCCCAGTCAAATCAGTAGCGAGCCGCTTTGGGGTCGTAGTCGCAAGTCTCAAGTTCTGGGTTCACGTTAGCTGAAGTTGAATTGTTGATCGTTGGTTGGCTGTGAATGGCGGCTGGTGCGGGGCGGATCAACGATGACCAGCTAGGATCTTCTGACCCAGTGGGCATTGCTCCGTAACTCAGTGGAGAAACATACTGATCTCTAATGTAGTGCCCGGGTGGCAGCTGTTGCTGACTGCACCTCAAGTTTGGCTTTGCTGCACTGAATACCTTATCTGGGGGATACCTACCACTCTAGATTTGAGTAGTCAATAGAGCCTCTTCAAGTAGTGGAGGCGTTGCAGTTAGCTGCCCGCCCGGGGAAGGTTGATGGTATCTGAAACTCTTCGACGTCTAAAGTGCCTGCATGTTTAATTTGTATTTACCGGTCATATGGCGTTGTGCAACAGTACTATTAACGGCATCCGTGGTTTTATATACAATAACGAAACCAGGGTGTTCTGATTCCAGCAGCCATATTTCTTATGATAAATTGCCTTAATACCAGGGATGATCGTCCTCAGACACTTCATCTGGGCACTTACATATATCCTATGCCAGGTGTCACTGCTAAAACTATGAATACATAGAATAACTCTATATGAGTCATAGGCAGAGACAGCTAATCTTTACTGACGTTAAAGAGACTAAATATTTGTGTAAAATCTTTACTGACTTCATCCAGCACACACGTGGCAACATTAGACTTGCCATGCATTTTTTCAGCAACTTGATTAAGAAAGTTAACAACGATAGAGCGGACAGTATGACTCCCACTGAGTATTAATCCTTGCATTCGGTATGGCATCAATTTCATGACGATTCTGTTCTGACAAA